TACTGATGCAGGAACGACTCGGTTATTAGGACCTCCCAAATCATAGCCCTCAGACAGTGTCTCTGGCCAATAATCTATTTTTATTCAGAATATATGTTATTTTTGTGTGTAAACATATTTATTCATAAGCATATCCTTTAGTGAATAAAGAGCTATCCACAATACCTAAATCAGTTTTGCATACAACTGAATATATTGACGCCATGCAGCCTCATCAAACCACTTCTACAAAAAAATTTGGTTTGTTTTGGTGGCAGTGCGCTCCAATTTTAGCCAATTAGTTTCAACGTTACTGCAAAGCGCTAGCCAGCCTCTCCAAACACATACCACCAACACCCCACAAAACAACATTTAGTAAATACCTTATAAAATATGATAAACCGCAATTGTTTGTCAACCATTCTGTTATTTAAATTTCTGAAATTATTACGATAAATTATGCACCTTCATTAAAGGATATGCAGCAAAGGAAACAGGAAACGTCCAATCTCGCGCTCCTGTGTGCCTCTAACATGAAGAGCAAAAAGCTCGGCTCCATATTCTGTTGTCTTAACAGGCCTTTTCCTGTTCACTGTGAAGCCTGGTACGCAGGAGTGAGTTACGACAATTTAGTCAATATAAATAGGTCAGTGCACTGAAACTCTCATGTTGGAGTTTTACGCCGGTGACGTAAAAGATCCACACGACAACAAGTCACGTTCTTGACTACACTTCGCTTTATATCAATAATACCGGCTAAAATATGAGCGGTAAACTTGGTCAGTTCTATTTAACACGAGAATCTTTAGGTCTTAAGACGCGCAAATCATTACCTTGCAGCCAATTAAACAAATGTTAATGATAGTTGAGTCAAGTGAGCGGAACACGTTGACGTCAAGTATGCTGACATCGAATACAATACCCAATTGTTGGTTTATGCCGCAAAGTTGGGAACACGAGCTGTGGCTGGACGCAGTAATGATTCGTGTAGCAAGGCATTACCCATAAAGATCAAACATGCCATTATTTACATTTAACGCGTTTAAGAAAAAATGTGCAGCAGCAGCCTTCGTTCTACCATTTACCACCTAAAACCTGACGCACAGCAAGTACGAAATTATTCATTGGCTTAAGGACTTGCTCAATGTACGTATATTTATAATGAATTGGTAATATACTTGAGGGGCTGCTAGCAATACAACTGTAGCATGTAGAATAGCGGGGAGTATACCATCTGTGTCAAGATGTGACCATCACACAACCGAATTCCAGATATTAAAATTAAATACAACAGTTGTAGTACATACCAATGTGTGGGTTTGTCCTTAGCCGTGTTTTTCATCATATGGCTGTGAGTGAACCTATTAGTACTGTAAGCACAATGATTGCGTTAATACCCTGAGTAGGCTAATCAACTTAAGATTCAGTCACCCGAGTCAGTGTCATCCCCCGAGAGCACATATTACCCATGAGACCTATAAATGTAACTCAGTCGAACAATCAAAGCCTCACAATAAACCACAATTAATAAATGCTATACAAGGGAGGGGTTCATTAATTCAATTAGTGGGTCTTCCCCTCTCGCGGGTCGGGCTGCAGCAGACGCCATCTGCACTCCCCATAAGTATCTCATGAACCGTTTGTGTTACCACCACTTAATGTACAACGCACACCCCTTCTCACTGCAACAACAGCCAATTTAAAATATTACCCGCGGATGGTAAAAGACATCAAATGCGCCTCTGTGACCAAGGACAGAGCGCGCGGCTAGTGCCCCCAAGCCTAGCCCCGGGACGGGTGCCGCGTCAACAAACACCGGGCGATAAACACAAAACACAAATTCTGGTGTTTATCATTATCTCTCACGCCGCGTTTTCTGTCCACTGTTAAATTCTCACAGCCATAAGAAGGCCGACCGGCGCTGGTGATTTGTGAGACTTAATTACCTGGCGCGAGCTGTCAATCACCAGTTCTGATAATCTCGCCGCAAAACCAATTTCCACTCGATCTCTTATTCCAGAATAAGCTCAGTAACCGTACGGTTTGTGTATCTGAAATAAGATCAATATTCGTATAATACAGCAAATACAAAAGTAGCAGCAAGCGAAGGGAGGACACGTCCACAAAAAGTTAAACTAAACACGTTATTATCAAGCAGCGGGAAATTATCCCATAGACCGCTCCCAGCCCAACCCACCTCAGCCCTAGCCGCCCTCAGCCTCTGCTGCCCTTACCATCTGGACCCTGGGGGAAACCACGCCAAACACACACCACAAAAAATACAATAACAATGATCGCACAATCAACTTCAATTAATCGGATTTTGGCCGCCGCCTTGTATGGTCCCGCCACCTGTTGGCGGGCTCCACACAACTGCTTAAACATCCCACCACCCCCCCTATTGTTCTGATCACTCAACTGTTTCTCCTTGATGCTCACTTCATAAATTATGCACATCTCCATATCTATCTCTCTATCTCTCTCTCTCTCCCTCTCTCTCTCCTCTCTCTCTCTCTCTCTCTCTCTCTCTCTCTCTCTCTCTCTCTCTCTCTCTCTCTCTCTCTCTCTCTCTCTCTCTCTCTCTCTCTCTCTCTCTCTCTCTCTCTCTCTCTCTCTCTCTCTCTCTCTCTCTCTCTCTCTCTCTCTCTCTCTCTCTCTCTCTCTCTCTCTCTCTCTCTCTCTCTGTCTCTCTGTCTCTCTCTCTCTCTCTCTCTCTCTCTCTCTCTCTCTCTCTCTCTCTCTCTCTCTCTCTCTCTCTCTCTCTCTCTCTCTCTCTCTCTCTCTCTCTCTCTCTCTCTCTCTCTCCCCCGCCGCTCTCTCTCTCTCTCTCTCTCTCTCTCTCTCTCTCTCTCTCTCTCTCTCTCTCTCTCTCTCTCTCTCCTCTCTCCTCTCTCCCTCTCCCTCTCCCTCTCCTCTCTCTCTCTCTCTCTCTCTGCGCGCGCGCGTGTGTGTGTGTGTGCGTGTGTGTGTGAGGGGGGGGGGAGGGATGGCAATAACCACCGCTACCCCGGATGCTGCAATTATCCCTCTATTGAGGACCTGTAACCCGAGATAGAGCTGTGTGTGCCGCAGCCGCTTCAACCCACCACCAGTGCCACTGCATCAACCCACCACCAGTGCCACTGCATCAACCCACCACCAGTGCCACTGCATCAACCCACCACCAGTGCCACTGCATCAACCCACCACCAGTGCCACTGCATCAACCCACCACCAGTGCCACTATCAACCTATCACCAGTGCCACTCTATCAACCTATCACCAGTGCCACTGCATCAACCTATCACCAGTGCCACTGCATCAACCTATCACCAGTGCTACTGCATCAACCTATCACGTGCCACTGCATCAACCTATCACGTGCCACTGCATCAACCCACCACCAGTGCTACCATATCAACTGCCTGTTCTACGAGGCTGTTTGTCTTTGTAGCTCGCAGGGCTCATAGCCATCACAGGCGGGTTGATCCAGTAGTTTCAGCCGAAACTTACCAATTTCTCTCTTTTTTCGGGTTCATGCTTGCTTGTCCACATTACTGCTGTTGACAGTGTAATACTACAGTGTACACACACACACACAACCACAGGGGGCCTCGCGGCTGAGTGGACAGCGCTCGGGGGGTCGTAGTCTTAAGGGCCCGCGTTAGATTCCCAGCCGAGGCGGAAAGAAAAGGGCAGTTTCTTTCAGTCTGGTGCCCCCTGTTTACTTAGCAGTAAATAGGTACCTGGGATTTAGACAGCTGCTACGGGCTACTTCTTGGGGGATGTGTGTGTGTGGGTGTGTGTGTTTAGAAATATATGTAGTAAATATAATAGAGGAAAAATAGATTGGTTAGAACGGTGAGGTTCATGAGCTAATAGCTCGATTCTGCAGATACAAATAGTAAACACACACACACACACACACACACACACACACACACACACATAGACTCCAATAGACTCAGGAATCTGTACACCTGTTGATTGACGGTTGAGAGGCGGGACCAAAGAGCCAAAGCTCAACCCCCGCAAACACAACTAGGTGAGTACACACACACACACACAGCTTCACCTATACAATACAGGTGTCACTGTTAAATTTGCATCAAAACACTACAAAAATTACAAATTATATTAGCAACAGAAAAAGCACTAATATTGTAAGAGTACTAATGATATCCATACAAGGTATTCCCTACTACACGTGCTTAACGTTCACACAATACGCTATTGTTTATAAACATATTAATTATCAGCAGTATACTTCTACAGGAACCAAGGTCGGCGTGGAGAAGGGTAGTTTACACGTGTTTTAACGTGTAAACTGCAAGGCACGGGGGTTAAACTCTCCCACCAGGCTTACCACAAACCTGGCCATTAAACACTGGAGGGGGGCCAAAGTGCCCTCTTACCAGTAGCGAACAAGTGGCACACCGCTGGGACACCCCGACCCCTTAATTCAATTAGGCATATCCCGAGTTACGGGGTCGAGCAGGTGCCAGCGGGGGAGTGGGCGAGGCTGTGGGAATATGGGACAGCTGGCCACCACGCTCGTCCTGGGAACGTCAGGCTTCACGCCCCCGGAGACCCGATATTGCTAGCCACAAGGGACGGATTATCTGACACTTCCATTACCCTCCTTATCTTTCGACGATGGTCATCGTACCGGTGAACTAGTAATAATTCATATCTTCACAAAATATATATCACAGAATGCATGCAAATTTGCATATGCTAAAGGATGGTTGGCAACCATGGTGGCGGAAAAACGTTAAAACAGAAAACGTTGTTGAGGCGGTAGAAGCAGGCAAGACCTGGTTAACAGACACCGGACCCGTGGGAGCAAGAGAGGACACCACCAGGCGTCAACACAGCAGGTTTTCAGGGGGCAGGACGGCGAGAGTGTGAGGGGCACGGGCTGCCAGACAAATGCACCAAAGGGGTACGATCGCAAGAATGTAAAAGGGCAGGATGGCACATGTTTGAAGAAAGAGGAGGAAGCAGTTATGAAAGGCCAAAAGCCTCGAGGAGGTACTTACTCGCAAGTGGACTCAGCTCCGGGGTTGGAGACACAAGTGCCGCTGCTCTTGCACGGGTTTGGTGAGCACGATATGAAACCTGCAGGGGAAAGAAAATAAAAAACTTAAAGAACATGGTTATGGATGATATAAACAGCGAGCTGAAATTAACGAGTAGGTTAAGAAGCTAAGAAGACAGTACGTGTAGATGGTCAAAAACTACATAGGCTTATCTAGAGGGATAAACATCTCCCTATTGCAATCACCGTTTAAGATCACATGACGTAGAAGTACTTACAATTAAGAGCGATAAAGTCACGTCACGCATCACCCCCAACACATGCCACACGTCTCCCCAACACACGTCACCCCCAACACACAACACACGTCTCCCCCAACACAAGCTCTAACGTCCCCCAAAAATATTAAGTATCGACATCGGTGTGTTTACAGCATCAGGGGTATCGCTATCTCTCAGACCATTAACGGCATCCCTTCAGTAGGCACAGGCTGTCACCACCCGCCAGACGCTGCCTTTGTGGGGGACGGGAGACAAACTGATATGACCTTTCCATCGTCGGGAGACGAGAACCCTCTTAGACATACAGACATTCCCCCTTGTCAAGGGTCAACTGTTTCCCTGACCACACGGTCACCCAAACAGTCACTGACCAGACCAAACGGTGTTCAGTCGACTGATCTAGTGATGTGCACACCACCCACTGTGCCACTAGTCATTTCTGAAGACAGTAGTGAATACTCCACTATTTTGTTCAAAAACGTTCGTATATAGAAGTAGCCATCCAGCCCTCAAGTTGGATACTTGCCTGATACAACTGCTCAATGAGTTCTGTGTGTGTGGTCACTGAATGAACATTACAACCAATGTAGACTGGAAGAGGTGGTTCTCGCTCCAGGGAGTGCATGGCTTGCATATTCTATGCAGACGGCCTTTTCTTTGTATTGATTATCATTGACCAGTAGCTAAGGTCATTGAGGATCATTGAAATCAGAAACTTCAGGGCAGCAACCTCAGCGATGTCTTCTTTTATCAAGATTTCTCTCACCATTCTTTTTAATTCATTCTTTCTATGAAGAAGATTTGGCGGTTTCTGAAGCCATTCTGCTGTTAAGCCTCAGGAAAGCGTCCCAGCAGTTTCGACCTTTCAGTCTCAACTTGTTTTAACTCGGCTTATTTTATAAAGCTACGGTCAAATACAGTTTTTAGTTCTTGTCCCAACTCTTATGTAGTGTATTAAACCCCTAAGATTGTAATTATTAAGCTACAGGCGCCAAGACGAAACTTGAATGATAAACTATTTTTACCATTGATATCAGCCATCTTGAATTTCAGCCTTGGCCTGTTGGGACACTAGGAATAAGTGGAATAAACTTTAAATAAACTGGAAAAGACGTACAAAATGCTTTTGCTCTCATCTACCCGGTTACCTTACCTTACTGGTAAAGGTATACAGTATCTGCTAAGCCATCAGACCATTACCTGTTTTTGGTTCCAGGGATCAACGTTCCCGCGGTCCGGTCTTTGATTACGCTTCCTGGTTGGTGGTTTGGCCTACCAGGCTGTTGGACGCAGCTGCTCGTTGCCTGACTAACAAAAAGTAATTTCAAATGGGAATGAAGCTCGGTGGTTAAGCGTCCAAATTAACCGTAACAAAGAATGGACATAATCGAGGCCCGGAACCCTGATCAGATAAATCATCAGATGAAGCTTTAAATTCTCTTACTATGAATTATGTGAAGCAATACGGCTGGACAAATATTGCATTACAGTGGATCTTAAAAGGTTTCTGAAAAATGTAAAGTTGGGCCGTAAGCCACTGTCTCGCCCAACATCACCGAAAACCTTCCTATTCCTTAACCGGCTATGTAAAGGATGCGAAACTCGGAAACAGCAACACTGCAGCCTTGTGATCTTAGTAGGGATAAAGCTGACTAGGCACCACCATGGCCGTCCTTCACTCTTTATTGGACGATCTCTCGTGTAATCCGCTACAGCGTACAGTCACTACACGCTACAATGCACTGTCATTACCGTGGCACCGCTGTTCTCCACCTGCCGATCCTAGCCTATGGCAACTGAGTTATCAAGTCCGTCAACCAATGAGAAGCGACGTCCTCTTCCGTGATTACCAGTTGTCATGACATTAGCCACCCTCTGCCGGCCATGTATTCACGCAGCTTGCTGACCTAGAACTGAATATCCATACAATAGTGTGCAATTTAGTAAGTAATGTTGCGGATAAGGTTGCCTACTTTCACTGCACATCCTCTCCCGGCTAAACCATCATTCCAATCTGTGAAAACACTTTCAAAATACGATTGTAAATAACAACAAAATTAATATTATCAAGATTCAAAGGCGAGCAACAGACTAGCCTAAGTGGTCGTGGACAACCATTGGTGGGGTGGGCACCATCACCTAAACACAAGGGCCTCCCCCCACACACCCACTGCCCGAGCCAGACAACACTGATGTTATCTCCGGGGATTGATTCCCCAAGTCACGCTGGCACCCAGTTAACTAGGCTACGTTACTTCACCCTTAGATCACTTGCGGCAGTGTGTGTGGAGGAGAGAGGGTGTTGTTGTTGTTTAAGATTCAGCTACTGGGAACAAAAAGTTCTAAGTAGCACGGGCTATGGTGAGCCCGTAGAGGACTTACCTGGCACAGGAGCAGGGCTGTAACTTTGTGAGAGAGGGTGCAGGGAAAGGAGTAGAGATACGGTCCGCGGGGTTAGGGGAAGGGGGGTGGGGGGTGGGAGAGTGAGCTGGTGTATCAGGTGAAACTGTAGAACCTTTTGGAGAGGAGGGCTTAAGAAGGATCAAGTGGGACTGTTGGATAACAAAGGTGGATAACAAAGTAGTGCTCGGTACTAGCTTCTCCTTTCAGAGCTGAAGAGATTTCTGACATAAAGGGAATGCAGAATACACGACACGAATATAAACGATAAAACACCTAAATTACTGGGGCCATTTCAACGCTTTCTAAATATACTCTCTGGAAAGGAGAAGAGAAAGGTATTAAATCTATATTTGTAAAATAGAATGTCTGTCCGAGGCTGGAGAACAGACGCTTGAGGCTAGTCTCACTCAACTTTCCATGGGGAATGTCATAGTGAATTAGTGTTGGCCAAAGTGAATTGCTTTAAGAAATATCGGTATTTATAGTCTCCACATAAGATTTTTCAGGAAGTCACATCTGAAAAAGTTGTTGTGTTTACCATAGTTGTCCAACAGTTACAGTGATTCGAAATAATAGATTTTTTGACTGACGAGCACCTATAGAAAAGGTTCTGATGAGAGCCAATCAGCAAATAAGTTAATACGTAACTAACTGAACCAGCCCTTGATGACGGGTTGGTAGGAGAGGGTCAGGATGAGACACAGTACACAAGATGACCAGGGTAAGGCATAGTACATGAGGCGTAGTATATGAGTGGTGTGAGGGAGTGTGTGAGACCCAGAGACACTTCAAGACCAATACCAAACATCTACCACTTACGGGCTACTCATGCCCGTGCCACTTCTTGTTTGGCAGAATCAATCAATCAATCGAGGGAGTGTATGAGTAAGGATGCGATAGGGCATGGTGCATGAGAGTGTTGGGTGAGGGGGGGGGCATTAAAAGCGGGCACAGGTCAACAGGTCGCGGTGGCAGTGGTAGCTTGAGGTACAAGAGTGGTTGAGGCCGGTCGCTGCCTGGGCTTCATCACTGGCCAAGACCGGGATGTACCTTCGTATGGGCAATCTCAGTCTTCACCTCACCGCCGAGAACAGTGAAGCCACACAGCCTTGTAGCACAGCAATTACACCATTTTCTTTCACAACACGTCATGTATCCCATTAGGATAAATCACGACATTGCTCTCCACAAATGCTTTTATCGCTGAATAACACAGCCTTCTTCATGGCATCAGAGTAACTATGGCCACCACAATCATGCAAATATCTTATGCATATAGCAGTATCTTCCTAGCCTTGAGCTTTCCTCGAGGGAGACCCACTATACCCACCCTTTCCACGAGGTCCGGGCCCTAATTAAACCACGTTTATATGTAGCATGACTAATAAGTCATGAGATATAACTGCGCTTCCTCTGCCCCAACTGTTAGTGTGGGTGAGAGGCAAGACCTTGTGAGACAGTACCTTAGCTGGAGGCCCTTAATATCAAACCAGCCCGCCCCACCACCCTCCTCCCTGCTATAGCCCGTCTCTCAAGGAAATCTTACACTAGTGTAGTTAGGTTGTACTAAGATCATTTAAAATCTTCTACCCACTTAATTTATATTTTCGATAAATTAACAGGTTTTATCAGTCTGATGACAAATTACAATATGGTGAGGTAAAATGGAGAGAGGAGAGTTGCATTCAGCAGGAAGGGGCGGTGAGGGGGGGAAGGTGATGGTGAGGGGGGGGGGGGGTGGCGACCCACTTCGGACTGGTGCTGCACTCTCACTCTCTCTCTCACCGCTGCTGCCCACTCCTTCCCAAACCTACCTCCTCAGGTTCTTCACCCAGTACTCACTAGGAATAGCACAATGACTAATATTTATCTAATTAAACTTGTGAACTGTGAAGATTCCGCTCTGCAAAAGCATATGTTCTGTAACGTATTACACGGTCCATATTCCCATGGACGAGCCGAGAGTGCAATACCAACAACGTCATTATATTCTCCAGCAAGATAGAAAAGGTGGTGGAAGCTTTGTGTGGCGGGGTCCAGCACATCATGGTGTGACGGGGTCCAGCACATCATGGTGTGACGGGGTCCAGCACATCATGGTGTGACGGGGTCCAGCACATCATGGTGTGACGGGGTCCGCCACATCACGGTGTGACGGGGTCCACCACATCATAGTGTGACGGGGTCCAGCACATCATAGTGTGACGGGGTCCAGCACATCATGGCGTGACGGGGTCCAGCACATCATGGTATGACTGGCAGACACCTGAGCACCCACAAGCTGGTCACTCACTCACGGGACGGGTTCGACTCCTTCCACATCCCGACTCTCCCTTTACACACCTGTCAGACTGCCGCGACTCAACACTGCTGAAACACCACCTCCATGCCCTCCC